CTTTCCCAGGTTCCTAAGGAAAGCGACTTAATAGCGTTAAAAAGGTATTTTCTGCCCTTCTTTGACAGCATTGACAATGTCTGTTGTTTGCCAGCGAACTAAATAGAGCTCGGTCAGCGCGACGCCTTCAAAACCAGAATTTCGGAAAAAAAAAATGGAATTTTGAAAAAAATTTCTTGGAAATTCTGCATCGCTCAGTTTCCTCCCGGATTTTCCGATGGGTGAGGCGGCGCCGCTGTCGGCGCAGCAACTTTGGGTTGTTTCTGCTCTTCGTTAAAACATTGTTTGCCTCGAAAACCGTAGGAAAAAGAGGGTAACTACGTCTCCCGGGAATTCCTCGGACAGGGCAAAGACGCAGTGGCTTTTTCTCCGAGGGCTGGAAGACGCTGGAAGCCAACGCCGAGTACCAGGGCTGAAATCATCACTAGGCACCTTAGCGAGCAGGTGGCCTCCTCAAAGCCAAATTCTTTACTCACATCCCCTTTTTTTTCACCCGACAACGCGGCGACATTGGAGGAGGGAAGTTGTCACCGTCGATGACTTTCTAGAGAAGAACGTAGAGAAGAGTTTGGCCCAAAATGATGATGTTTAGTAGCTCGGATGCAGTTGTCAGCCAAGGGGTTGCCAGGAGGAAAGAGCATCACGATATTTTTTTTGGAGGGGGTTAACTTGGAAGCGTTTTAATGGGCCGATGAGTTATTTTTGCTTTTTCTTGTCCCTTTTTCCCTTGGTAATTAATCCGCGCGGCGTGCGCCGCGCCGAAGAGGAGTTTATTTCGATACCGAGCACTTCCCTCGCCTTTCACCACCTTCCCTAAGCGTGCTTTAAGCAACATACTTAGCACATGTATATGATAAACGCCTTCATTTATGAGTGATATATTTGAGTTGCATTATATAGAGAGATATATCTATCCACAGCAACGGATTGCCTCTGTGTTCCCACTTTCCATCCTTTCTTTGTCCCCTCTTTTAATACACGGGACGACGGCGTTATTTACCCAAGGGGAAACCGGCTCCCGTATCAAAAATCAGCGTATTAGGATCGGTGTCGTTAAGACCCAGACGATCCGTAGCTTCTCCCAGTCGCTGCATTATCCATAGCAAACCCTTATTTAACAACAGGACCACGAGCGAGAGTTATTTCTGTAAATAGGTATTTTCGTGTGGATATTTTGTGGTACACATAGAATTTTTTCCTTTCCATGGCATTCTTGACTTCATTTCCTTATTTGTAACGTAATGTTTTTTTTTTTAGAGCGAGGTAGAACTTGAATTAATGTCATAATTGTCAGTATTATTCAACTTTCTGTCCACTGTACTGTTAACTCACCTGTCCCATAGTTTTAGAACACGACGAGCTATCTGGCATTGTTGCAAGTGCCTTAACTCCACGGCATCCTAGGAAAAAAAAAAAAAAAAAAAAAAAAAAATTAAAAAAAAAAAAGAAACAAAACAAAAAAAAAATTACAAAGTTGGTGTTATGCTGCATGACAAAGACAAACACACCTCAAAATGTCGTCCTTTCTTAGCTTGCTGCGTTTTACAGTTCTTTCTGCGACCGATTTCTAAGCCTTTATTATATAATATTGATGAATTACAGAAATGATGACGTCGTTCTCTTATTTCTGTTCAATGTACCAGAGCTGTGTATCTGTTGATGAGATACAGAGTCATTTCTGTGAAATGTATAAATGTTAACGTGCGGGTCAAATTAATATATGACATCCTATCAGTCCGTAGACAGGTATTCCTGTTCCGCTAAGCTGTTGCAGATCCAACCCGTCGTGCCGTCAAGCGCCAACCTCCCGTCTTACACCAACCCCTTTAGGAATCCCCCCCCTGGAAAAAAAAAAAAAAAATAGGATGAGCTACACGGTTGTACAACCCAACCTGTGGGGTTTGGTTTTTTTTGACCTGGAACCCCAACGTGAAGGCGTAGCTCGTTTGCATCGCTCAGTAAAACAGAATCCGTGCTTTTTCCTCCACCTCTGACTCCTACGTGGAAGCCGCGGCGGAGCTGAGCCGGAAAGTTGGAAGCTCCTTGTCCTCCGCAGCTCCCCAGTTGCATAAACTGGCCGTAACGGGGAGACTTGGGCGGTTTTGGGGCTTTAGCAGCAAAAGGGGAGATTTTCATTTGAAGTCACCTACGGTCCCGAGTCCCAGTTTACGCTGGTTTTACACCGGTCTTTTATTTCATCTTTTTTTTCTTTCTGCAGTTTTCTCCTTACATGAAAGAGGTTTTGTTTGTCGGTCATCCACCGGTCATCGGCCGGTTGCACTCTTTTGATGTAGATTTGAGATTTTATTTTTATTTTTTTCCCATAAACTTTTACCCGCTTTCGTTTCGCTCTGTATTTTCCCTGCAGCTGTAATTGCCGAGTGCCTGTTGTATACTTTATAGAGTTGAAATAAAAATAATTACTTTTGAACGGCGTGTCAACGTCTTTCTTCCGCGGCAGAAAGCCACGTTGGGGAGAGATCTACTTGGCCATTAAATCGGGTTTTTTTCGTCTCGTTCGTGATGATACGCAGTAAGAACCAAACCAAATGTGTGATGCTTATAAATTAGTACTGGGCTCCCAGCTTGCTTTTTTATCCAGATTTTCTGCAGGATGCAAAAGCAAACGGCCGTAGTTGTTGTAGTTTGGTGCTTGTTTGGGCACCGGCCGAAGGGTTCCAAGACTGTCAATCCAAATTATTTTGTGAAGATCCTAAGCAATAAGGATGTGACACAAACACCGCTCGCGAGCGCTGGTGTCCTTGGCACCGCCGTCCCTCGCGGTGAACGCCAAGAGGTGGGATGTCTTCCAGTACCTCAAGGGGGCCTACCAGAAAGATGGGGAGAGGCTGTTCAGGAGGACCAGTTGTGACAGGACAAGGGGTAATGGTTTTAAAATAGAGGGAGGTAGATTCAGGTTGGATATTAGGAAAAAATTTTTTACCATGAGAGTTGTAGAACACTGGAACAGGTTGCCCAGAGAGGTGGTGGATGCTCCATCCCTGGAGACGTTCAAGGCCAGGTTGGACGAGGCCCTGAGCAACCTGATCTAGTTGGAGATATCCCTGTTCCTTGCAGGGGGGTTGGACTAGATGACTTTTGAAGGTCCCTTCCAGCCCTAACCATTCTATGATTCTATGTTGTGGCGTCACCTCCGTTACGCAGCATTCGGGACGTTGAGGCTCTGCCCGTCCCCATAGATTTAAATCAGCCCCCCGTGTGACACAAGTGGCTCTAAATGTCCGTGAGGTCAAGGTTAAGGGTTTCCATCAGTGCTCTGAGGACACAGAGATGGGGAAAAGCTGGGGAAAGGAGCAAGAAAACATCCCCCCAGCAGGGAAAGAAATTTGACAACCACCTAAGCCGGGAAACAGGATTTTGCCGGGTGCAGCAACCACAGAACCGAGTTAATAAGACAATAATTAAAAAAAGAAAGCACCCAATGTGACATTTCTCACCTGAAACTTCAAGAGGAGCACAGGGATTTCGGGCCAAGGAGTGGCCCTCCTTCTTTCTGGCTAAAAAACACC